ACACACACACAGAGAGAGAGAGAGAGAGAGAGAGAGAGAGAGAGAGAGAGAGATTCTCCATTCTCCAATTCTGTGGCAACACCAAGCCAGAGTCCTGGGAATTAGGGGATCAGTACTTGGCATCTCCCTTCCTCTCATTTCCCAGGACTCAGCCTGCAAAACTCAGGGCTCCCACATCTATCTCTGCTCTTTCTTTGTGCCCATGGCCCTGGCACCATAGAGAAGATCCCAAGGAGAGTAGGCTGCTGCCAGAGTAACAGGGCAGGGTTGGGCTTGTCTTGAGGCCCCCCAGGCTGAGGCAGTGGGGTGGGGGTGGAGATTCTATGCTGCCTGAGCCTGCCCACAGCACCCACATCTCCTGTTTCTTCCTACTGCATTCAACCACCCAAGCAGGGCATAGTCTGCAGGACAAGGCCAGAGCCCCTGTCTCTCTTACGACTCCTTGCCCAACTTCATGGCAAAGGCTCAGGGTATTTTGGTTTGTTTACCCCATCTTCTAAATAGGGAATCCATGTTGGCTTTGCTAGCCTCCCAGGCTTGGATGTCTGGGGTTGTCCTGGTGCATGTGTGAACAGGAAGCCCTGTCTCTTGAAGACTTAAAGCAGTCCCAGCTCAGAGAGGCCTCGTATGGGGCATAGTTTGGTGGGGAAGCTGGGATATTTGGGGCTCCATCTGGGCTAAATAAGCTCCTCTGATCTCAACTGCTGGAGGCAAAAGTAGAAGGAACCCAGTTGACAAGAGGGCTGGGCTCACTGCTGCTTTGAAATCCTCAGCACCAGTGAGGAGGGAGGTTGGGACACCCCAATTTGGTTAGGCACAAGCACTGCCTATCTAGTGGATGTCAGCCCCAGAAGAAATCTCACTGTATGTTGTTGCTTGAAAAGCCCCAGATTTGTGTGTGTGTGTGGGGGGGGGACCTCACACACAGAGACCCAACCCCAGTTCTCAAGGCCCGTCCTGGCTCCCATCTTATATCAGTGGACAGAAAGGCCTGCACAGAGGTTAGTGATGAGCTGCTTCCTGGAGAGACTAGAGAAGCCTTTCTGATACCCAAAGGTCACACAGCAAAGTAGGGGACACAGCCAAAAGCTTGGCTCAATTTCCTTTTTATATGCAGAAGTGGGTATGGTGTTGACTCCCGAGATTATAAGAAGTCCTCAGCTGGGTGAGTGTCCTGCCTCCTTCATTCCTTCCAAGTAGCCTCAAGATGCTCACCCAAGTCTGGCCCAGCAAGACACAGCAGATTCCCCAGAAAGTCTGGGCCCCAGAGTAGCTAGAAAGACCAGTCATCTCTCAGCTACAACCTCCAGGACAGTGTAGGGAACTTGCCCAAGGCAGATGGACCAAAAGGGCAGGGAGGAGAAGCAAGAGCAGCCCAGAGCAGTCAGAAGAGGCAGAAGGGGTCTAGAGAGCAAGATGGAATGGCAGGGAAGGAGTGAGGCACTGTCCCCACCCCTCTGCACTGCCCACCCACCTGCCTGTCCCTTCTGCCAAAGCTACCCTGCAGGAGGATGAGTCAAGGCTAGAATTTATGCCTATCTGAACTACAGGACCCACAATCCACCTGGATAGGCCAGGAATCAAGGGAGATGGCATGGACAGGGGATGCAGTTGGACAGAGGACCATCTTCGTGAAGCCAACCCAGATCCTTTGGAACTATAGCGTAGCCTGGAGATCTCCACAGGGCATCTTTTTCCTAGGCAGGAATCTCCCAAAAAGCCTTTTGTAGCCCATAAACAACCAGAGCATGATGTTCCTCTGTAGGCACTGCAGCCTGTTCGGATTACAAACCTCCTCCACCCAGAGAAAGGAGCTGTAGAACTCTAGGTGGCTTTATATAAGTAGATTTGAGAGGACATTGGTGTGGGGCTCCACAAGGGGCTAGGAGAATGATACAAGGAGATCCAAGTCTGTTGTCAGTTCTAATCCAGGCTCAACCTGGGGTACGAGGCTCAAGGCCCATGCAGAGGCAGGATGGAGTTTGGCTGCTTTTTCAGGGCTTAAAGCTTAAGGGGCGGGGACCAGGCAGTCTTCCCAGTATAGCCCTCATTTTCATTCAGAAAACTGGCACTAGATTCAGTACCCATATTCTGCAGGGATGGGGGCATGCCAGACACAGAGCCCAAAGAAGGGGATTCCATTAAATTAAGAGAGTGCAGAGGGTAGGCCTTCTTCATGTCTGCACCACCACTAGTGTCACTTTATGGATGAGAGAACTGAGGCCTACAAAGAGGAACTGATTTCTCCCAAGTCCTCTATTTACTCAACCTGAACAGAGTCCAGCTTTGGTCACTCTAGGGTCTGAGCTTTCAGCTTCTGGTCCATGAATGAGGGTAGCTTCTGAGAAACTCTGGGCCTGTAAGTGGGTAATACAGAGACCCAGAATGGGTGGGAGAATCACTAAGTGGGGTTATGGTGACAGCGGGGGTGCTGCAGATAGTCTCACATGCCTCCCTTTCTCAACTCCCTCAAATTGAGCCCTCACCCCCGTACACTGAGGAAGCAGGCAAAGTTGCAGTCAGGAAGGGATCTTCTGTGGACAGACCCTGTAAGACCTATAGAGAGTTTCTCCAATTCCACTTCACCTTTCCACTGGGGCTTCCAGACCTCATTTTCCCTTTGTTGGCCTCTTTGGCTGTTCTTATGCTCCATCAAAGTGAGCTCTGAGCTTGCTGGGCAACAGCTCATCAGAGCAAAGGAAAGAAGTGGTCATCATGGTGAGCTGAGCTTGGCAACTGCAGATGTGAACAGGGGAAGGGAATGGGCTTCCTGGAGTCTGCGCCACCACCCCAATAGGGCCCTCCTTGTCTGTTCCTCTGAAAGCCAGTGTAGTTCTTCATGCAGGATTGCTCTGGGTCACAGCCAAGCAAGACGTGCTGTCAGTCTCTGAGAACATGGAAGGGCTGTGCTAGGCATTCAGGCTAGGCCAAGGGTGGCAGGGGCAAGGCTTGAGGTCTGGCAGGCAATGGGAGCTTGCCTGCAGATGTGGGGCTGGCAGCTGCCAAGGAGCAGACACCAAGTGCAGTCTCAGCAACCTCCTCCTGGGGCATTGGGCCCTGCTGAGCAACTGTACCTCAACTGTGATAAACGGAAGATGCTGCCTTCTACCAAGTTCTGCTGTGCTCCTGGGACTGTGCAGGTGGGGAAATGTGTGAGTGACAGGAGATACTAGGCACTGTTTTTCCTTCCTCTGATCATTAAAGGCAAGCTGACAATTGACCTGCTTCCTGCTGCCCTCTAAGGCCACCTAGCTCCAGCCTAATATTTAAGTGTCAACTAGAAGGATGGGATGTATGCTTTTAGTATGCCACATGGTGAGCAAAGTCTAAGCCAAACTGGTCAGGGCCACATCTTACTACCTGTGGCCCTGGCACTGATAGAGTAGCTGGGTAGTCAGATACAGCTCTCCAACAGACTTGGGAGTGGGTTGTACCTGAATGCAGGTGTCAGAGGTGCCTGGGGTATATAGAGGTGGTGGGTGCATTGAGTGAGAACTTTCTATTGCTTGTCCCTGCCCTATTGAGAAACTTCTGGAAAGAATCCTTATATCAGATGATTGGAGGTACTATGTTTCCTAGTCCCTTTGCACCTGACCCATGTGTCTGCCCACCTCCTCCCACTTACTAACAAAGTCTGGGCTCCTACTCACCATGTGCTAGAATTTTCAAAGGAGAGGAGGATGCTGTCACTTCTCAATGGTGGAAAAGGAGAGTCAAATGATTTCTTTACTACCCAACCCCTGGTGACCATAACACTTTTAACAGTTGATAGGTGTCTAGTAAGCTGAGGCTAAGATAATTTGTCCCAAACTCTTTCCCATGGCCTCACAGTGAGGTAAAAGTCAGGCTAAGATGTCACAGTGTCTGTCTGTCTACCTGCTCATCCCAAGCCCCACTCCTGAAGAGAGTAGCAAGGCAACAGATTCCAGATCCCAGAGAGGCCCCTTTCTTCCATGTCTTGGGGTTCTTGAACTCTCTCCCAAATATCACGTCCCGTACTGCTTGCCAGGAACTCTGGCTGTGGTGGGATTCAGCCTCATGCAGTCATCTGGGAAAGGCCAAGAGCCTCTTCATTTACAGTCTTCCCAGGCTGACTGGTTTCCTGGATGCTTGCAGCCACTAAAGCACATGGAAAGGCCACATCTGGGGCTTTCTGGACTTAGAGCAATAAGGAATCTGGAAGAAGTTAGTTAAAGTGACCGTTGGCTGTGGGCTATAAAAGTTGGGTAAGGGACTTATTGGCCTGGAAGAGGACAGGAGACAAAGCCCTGTTCTTAAACCCCAGAGGAGTTGGCCCAGCAAACCCAGGCCTTCCTCTGAGGACACCTGAATCTGTTGCTTTCTGGAAGGCTGGAGGATGGTCTGAGGTCTGAACATGGGACAAGTGTGAGTCACACTTTCCCTCCCCGTGTCCCACCCCCACCCCGTGAGATTTGCGGAAAGGACTCTGTGGGTGGCCAAGATGTGATAGGTGATGCTGCTGGCCTTCCCCAGCCCAATGTGTCTGAGCACAAAGGAATATAAGTCTCCTGGAGGTGAGGAAGGGGTGAGAAACAATGCTAACTGCCCCAGAATTCAGTGGATAAGGCCAGAGCAGGAGCCCCTTGCTTAGCTTGTCTTTAGAGGGAGACTGTACCTGCCCTGCAATCTTTGGTCCATCCATGACTGGGTATCCAGGAACATTCATTCACACTGACCCTACTTCTTGGTGTGAGGGAGGTCCTGTGCTGGAGTGTCTCCCTACAACCAATTGGCCTCCCTACAATGGGGAGAGCCTAATGCTAGGACTGTTGGGATGTGGAGGCCAGACTAGAAGATGGGTGGGGCATTTAAGAGCAGGGACAAAGGAGGAATAGCAGGAGGGAGTCGTGGTCGATGTGGAGATAGTCAGGGGGTGTTGTGGGTGAGCAAGGAAGCTGAAGGGTTCCAGTAGTTGGAGAATTAGAGGCTATTGGTGTTGGGGGAGGCATGCTGAGAATCCTGTGGGACCAAGGACTAGTGACTTCTGGGATAGACTTGTGGTACTTTGTTTCTGCAGGGAGAGAAGGTGAAAGACCATGGTGGGTGAGCCCAGGCAAAGGGGAGACTAGAATGTAGTCTAGTCCCCACCCCACCCCAACACAGGGTGACAGGAATCGAGTGATATAGGGAGGATCCCAGTGCAGATTGTCAAGTATAGCCTTAATTATTCTTCTGAGGATTTGACTGTGATTAGAGGGATATAGACATTGTCACAGGATGGCTACAGAATGCTGCTGAAGAAAGCTCTTTTTTACCTTTGAAACATCCCTTTTCCTTCTATCTCATCATGTTGCCAGTCTGTCAACAGCCTAGGGCTTGGGAGGGACAGGGGAAAGATTTGGGTCAGTGCTAGCAAGTTATCTGACATGATGGTCAGTGGCTGGCACACCCATCTGGGCCCCTAAAACTAGCTGGTCCAGATTCACTTTGCATGTAGTAGGACTTCGACCACTGTTCTGGGTAGGGTGCAGAAGCAGTGGTAGACTGGAGTCTTTTGGAGTGGAAAGTGGACCAGTGTAGGAATGGGCCAGAGAGGCCCAGTTACCACACCCAGGTGGCCAGCTGGCTATGGAGCCCCCTCTACTCCCTGGCTCAGAGTCTCCTCCTCCTGCCATGCCCTAGTGGCTTAGAGGCAGACCCACATCCTCCTGTCAGCATGGCTACACTGCCTGCCTTCAAAGGTTCATGCCATTTGGCCTTCAGCAGCCATACACAGTCATGTTCCACACAAAGTACCCCTGCCCACCCACAAGTTCTCCTAGGGTGTGGGTGGCACAAGCAACTGATCACATGTCCAGATGCCTGTCCCTGGGAATCTTGCTGGCATCTAGGGGGCGTCTCCAGCTTGTATCAATTCTAGTCATTACACAGCAGAAAGCCAGCAGGCCAGAGGGGAACATAGGTAGAAGCTCCGAAAGATGAAATTGGAGTCACCCAGGTGCTATGTCCTTGGCCTAATGAAGATTTCCTCTGCCTGCTCCACCTACAGCTCCTCCCTGCAGGGTCCTATGCCTCCTACTCTGGGCAGACGGGAGAGAGCCTGGTCCCACCCCTGGGGGCAGTGACAGGGTACTCCAGTCCCCCAATCTTCACTAGACTTGGCGCATGCCCGAATTACTTGTCTCTTGATTCCTCTCCTGAACCCCTTGACAGGCCCCTCAGGGCCCCAAGCCATATTTGTCCCTGCGAACATGGCACAATTGCCCAATTTTCTACATCCATCTCATCCTCTGCCCGTTCTGCATCTCAGCTCAAGAGGGTTCTGGAAACAGATAGGACTGAGATAAACAGGAGGAACCCAAGACCCCTATAGCTGGGGCTCTGTGGACCCACACCTTGCCCAGGAGAGGGTGGAAGCAGGGCGTTAGTCTGTGGTGAGTGTGGAATATCAGGGCAAGTTGCCTGAAGTATGCCTGGGAGCACAAGTCTCTCAGACTACTCCAAGTGGAGACTTTGCCAGTGCTGAATTTTGCATTGGCCCCATCCTCCCTGACCTGGCTAGGTGCCAAGCCCCCAAGAAAGGCTGAACTGGGAGAGCAAGGCTAGCAGGAGTGGAGGGTATGCCTGAGCCTTGCCATGAAGGGATCGAGCTGTGGGTAGAGCCAGCATGCCAGCCACCCAGCCCTGCCTCAGTGATGTTCTGGGAAGCAGCACAGGGGACGCTCCCTGCCCACCCCCCAGAGGCAGAGAGGCAAATCATGGGTGAACTTAGCAACTAAGCAAGTTCAGAGGGGAGAAGGAAAGGAAGGGTGGGAAGAAAGTTCAGGGAAGAGGGTGGGGAGAAGAGGTAGAAATGGGATAAGGACCAAAAGGGTCACAGGGTGTTGATGAAAGGACACAAAGCCTTTGGTGTAGAGAGAGCAGTAATGAAGCCGTGGAGGTACAGACAGTGGGAGAGCAAGACTACAGATTGAGGAATCAGATGTAGCAGGGCCGCTGTGCGAGCAGCAGGATTGTCAGCATCTCTGGGTTAGTGAGGTAACAGCATAGCCAGAAATGAAGACAACAAGGACAAATTGAGGTCTTTATGGGAGAGTGGAGTCAGTTCGGGGCTTGAGCAGGCCCTACCTGGGGAGGGGGAAGCAGCCAGGTGCAGGCTGGTTAGTTGGTGGGCTAGGATGTCAGGCTGTCCGTGTATCTGTCCGTCAGGCAAGACCAACCGGGAGCAGCTGCTCACTCCTGGGCAGTTCGTGGAGAGAGGGAGACAGAGGCAGTGGGAGGGAGGCTAAAGGCTGGGCGGGCGGGCGGGCCAGCCCGACAGGGAGGGGACGAGCAGGGAGGGGGCGGAGAGGGAGACAAGGAGGGAGGGGGCTGGTGGAGCAGACAGGGAGAGAAGGAGGGAGGGAGGAAGGGCAGCTGGGAGGGAGGGGGCAGGCTTCCGAGCCCCCTGGCAGCTTCAAAGGAAGCAATTTTCTTGTAGACGGCGAGGCTGTGTGGTACCCCTCCCCCTATGTCCCCCACCCTGGCCCCTGCCTCAAGCACACTTTGAAAGGACACACACACTTACTTAGGGACAGACCCTTGGTGTCTCTGGGCAAACAGACTCACAGAGTCAAACTTTCCACTGCTCAAATAGGGACATTGAGGTGCTTGCTGGCATACTGCCAGGCAGAAGAAAGTAAGAGGAGATGAGGGGAGGTAACCTTATGGCTAGGATAGTGAGTGGCCCTGGAATTCTGTCCTAATTCCACCCAGAACCTCTGTCTGGTCTGAAACAAGGGGGTGGTTTGGGGATCCAGAGAAGTAGGGGATTGTAGGCTTCTAGGAGTGCTTATCTAGGCTCCTAGGGGCCTGGTAAGCCTTTCCTCCCCATCCCTTCCTCCTTTAAAAACGGATTTGTCCCCAGATTCTGGAGACCTTCTTGGCTCACCTCCCTGAAGACTTTGAGAAGTTAGCAAAGCTAATTTGGAGAAGAGGAACCAAGTCCCTTATCTTCTTGCTTAACTCCTACAGGGTGGCCAGGATGTCATAACCATTGTCTCTGTTGGGGAAAGTTCCTTTGGTCACTTTCAGGAGTAACTGGGTTAGCCTGCCAAACCTCAGCTGCTTCTCGATGGCCCAAAAGAGTCATGGTCCCTAGTGTGGCATCTACCTGTCTAGTGATGTACTACCTCTCCTTTGCTAGTACAGTTTCCAAGATATAAAGGTGAGAGCCCTTAGATGATGGGAGAGACTGAATCAGGGAGCCACACTGAAATCTGAAGGAGGAATGAGGGACCAAGAGTAGGGAAGGGCAAATAAGGAGGGAAAGAGAACCCACCCAGATAGAGATCAGGGTGAGGGGTGAGGGATGAGGGCCACTACAAGTTCCCAGCTGGGGACAGAGGTTCTAGTAAGGGTTTTGCCTGGAGCCAGAATCAGCTCAGTGTCCAGCTGTGGCACTTTCCTTCAAGAGGCTTTTCCTCTTGCTTTAGAGAGGAGAAAAATAGAAGAAGCTGGATATGTGTTGGGAGCCTGTGGGTGCCTTTGGATTCTATGTTCCAGACCAGGAGACTGGGGAGTAAAAAGGTCCTCCAGACTGAGGCTGTTGTTTTTGTCTGCTATTTCATGCACATATACATATACATATACATATACATATACATATACATATACTAATACATATAATATATATATATATATATATATATATATATATATATATATATATATATATATATATAGAGAGAGAGAGAGAGAGAGAGAGAGAGAGAGAGAGAGGATCTCATCTTATGTAGCCCTAGCTGGCCTTCAACTGACTGTGTATGTAAAGCTGGTCTTGAACCCCGATCCTCTTGTCTTTGTCTTATGAGTGCTGGGATTACAGAATACTTTGCCATGTCCCATTTGGTTCATGTCTTTCAGGTTTTTCTTTTTTTTCCTCTTTCCTTTTTGTCTTTTCAGTACTAGTGATGGGAGCAGGGTCTTGTGTATACCAAGCAAATGGTCTCCCATTGAACTATCCCCAGCCCCTGACTTTTGCTTTTTTTCATACTCAAACATACCTGGTCATTGGCAGAGTAACATCCTGGAAGCTACAGAGCTTCATGGACCCTCAGATTTTCTATTCACAGCTACTTTGTGATAACGCTGGCCATACTCTCCAGTGGATTTGGACTCTAATACCTACTTATCCAGGCTAAACATGTCAGCAGAGACCAGGGGCAGAGAGGCAGCAAAGGCTGAGGCACATATGCAACATTCTGCTTGGTGAGTTCAGCCAATGGCAAAGGTCACAATAGATCTGGCCTGTTTATGTAAGATGTCCAGAATAGGCTCTCCAATAGAGACAGAGAAAGAGCAGATGGGTGGTAATGGGGGAATAGAGGAGTAACAGCCAAATACATGGGTCTTTGGGTCTTAAAAAATTATTGTATTTTATTTATTTTGTGTGTGGGAGTGGGTAGGTGTGCATGTCATGACATGTGAGTAGAGGTCAGAGTACAACCATTGGGAGTTATCTCCCTCCACCATGTGGGTCCCAGAGACCAAACTCAGATCAAACTGGTGAGCCATCTCACCAGTTCTGAGTCTTCAGTTTGAACCAATAAAAGTGCTCTGAACATACTGAGTGAAAAGCGTTGAGCTGTTTATTTAAACTGTTTGCTTTGTGTTTTATGTATCTTTTATCTCTTTTTTTCTATTTTTGAGATAAACTCTCACTAAGTAACCTTGAACTTGTGGCAATCCTCCTGCATCTGCTTCCTGAGTGCTGAGATTACAGGAGTAGGCCATTACTACACCCAAGTATATCTCAGCAAATCTTTTTTGTTTTGTTTTGGTTTGATTTTTGAGATAGGGTCTTCTGTAGTCCATACTGAACTCAAATTTGCTTTGTAGTCCAGAATGACCTTAAACTCCTGATGTGCTGGAGTTAGAGGCATATGCCACCATGCCTAGTCAAGATTTTTATTTTAAGGGTGAAACCTCACAGAATATATACTCACTGCACCCAGGCACCTGTCTGCAAATTCCTTAATGAATATGGTACCACTTGGGCTGAGCCTGCACTGTTCTAGGGGTTGTTATTTAGGCCTCCAAGAACCTCAATGGGGAGAAGTACCCTGGAGATGGATGGAGCTGTCATGACCCACTAGAGCAGTGGTTCTCTCAACCTTCCTAATGCCGCAACCATTTGATATAGTTCTTCATATTGTACTGACCCCCAATCATAAAATTATTTTTGTTGATGCTTCATAACTGTAATTTTGCTACTGTTATGAATTGTAATGTAAATATCTGGGTTTTCTGATGGTCTTAAGTGACCCCTGTGAAAGGGTCATTCAACTCTTCAAAGGGGTCGCAACCCACAGGTTGAGAACCACTGCAGTAAATGGACTCTTAGAGCTGAGTTCCAGAAGGAGGCAGGTATGTGTTCTTGTTTCTGGCCTCAACAGGGCTATAACACCTAGCATCAAAGAGAGACCCAGGAAGACTTTCCGGAGGAGCCACAGTGAGCAGACTAGAACAGGCAGAGAGCCTTTGCCTTGTGGAGGGTGTAGGGAACAGCCTAGAAAATGTGCCCTAGGGGTAGGTAGGAGGCTGAGCAGTAAGCCAGCCTGTCTTTCTTCCTGGATAGAGGTTGAGGTAACCCTTTGCATGGGGGCCAGGAAAGAGGTACATTGTGCACTTTGAGGTTCTTCTTCAAAGTTGGGGGATAGGTCGGGGCAGCACTTCTATAAATACAGTTTTTGGCCTGGAAGGTCCTTGTGTCAGTGGTTTGCAGTCTGCAGTAAGCTATAACTGCATGCTCAGCTCAGGGCCCATTGAGTCACTCAGCCTGGCCCTCTAATTTGGGGGCAACTCCCAAGCCATCCAGGCAGCACCTCTCAATCTTTGAGCCTGCCCCTCTCACTCTTCTAGGTCCCTGTCCTTATGCCTCAGCTGTCTCTGAGGAAACAACTTGGACCCCAGCTGTAGCAAGGCTGGGAACAGAACGTCCTTGCTGGCCAGCAGAACAGAGCAGCAGCAGCAGCAGCAGCAGCAGCAATCTCTTACCCTCTGGCCTCCCATGCCTGGGAGGAGGCAGAGAAGGCAGAGGGAGGGCAGTGGGGAGACAGGAAGGAAGAACAGGCATTTCCTGAGGCCCCCCAGGACTCCAGAGGAGGAGGCAACCACACAGCTGTCTTAGCTCCTCAGGAACCAGTGGAAGCCTTCTGCTAGGGTCGGGAGACAGATCTCATCATTGTCAATACACATCTGCGTGTGACTCCAGGCTACCCCAGAGAGAGACTAGCTTCTGTGTTTGTATACCCCTTCAACTCTAGCTTGTATGCTTTCCCGGAGGCCTGGAGAAAGTTAGGTTATCTTAGGGAGCTACCCTGTCTCCCCTGGCCTGCCTTACAGCCTAGGAAGGTCTTTCTCTTGCTGTCCAGAGGTAAGAATGTAAGGAGCCAAACTAGCCCTTTAGATGGATGGGAAGCATATCCTTTGAGCAGCCAGCACTGCTTCTGGGAGAAGCTGTACTGATGTGAGCACCTGCCATGGGCACCTGCACTGCTTAGGCACCTGACTAGGAGACATTGCTGGCTTCCTGTTCTGAGTAGCCAGCCCTCCATCCATCATTAGGCAGTTACTCCCCCAGCCTGCCTAGGGAAGGAAGATCCCATAGGCAAGAGCTGGTAGGACAGCCATGCATATATAGAAGGGTTTATGTCTTGTGGAAGGGGCAGGGAGGAAAGGAGCTAAGAAAAGGAGAGGCCCCTTTTCCCAGGCAGGGGAATTTCAGCCTGGCATGTGTGGAAAAGGACCTGGCATAGGCAGCAGCCTGTCCCCCTACAGCTGGTTCACATCTGTTCTTACCCTAGCTTCAAAGCTGAGGGGGGGGGCTGTGCTGAGAGAGAGAGAGAGAGAGAGAGAGAGAGAGAGAGAGAGAGAGAGAGAGAGAGAGAGAGAGAGCATCTAGAGGACAGCTGTGAACACATTGGTTCTCTGAGTATAAAATACTGACTTTTGGTGAGAATCCCTGGGGGACAGGGCCTGGAAGCATGGCAGGTGCCCCTTGCAGAGGTGACAGCTGCTGAGAAAACTTCTCAGGGGCTCCTACACACCAGAGCTCCTGCCAACCCAGTTGCTTAGCTCATGAGTCTTTGGGCTTTAGGGTTCTTCTGCCAGCCTCCCTTTTGAGTCCTTCCCTGTCCTGTTTCCCTAGTATGTCCAACCCACTGCACAATGTTTCTCTCATTTGTTCTGGCAGTCATTGTTAAGTGACAGTCTGATGCCTGGCTTCTGGATAAGCTGAAGAGACCCAGGGGAC